AGCATTTCCCTGACAATTAAAAAAATGCAAAATTTTATTTGATTTTTGATTTACAAAAAAAAAAGTACAAAAGAATAAAAAATTTAAAACGCGTATTAAAACATTCTGGAATACCAACTTTGATAAGCGGTAAAGAAAAATTAAAAGCCTTCGAAGTTGATTATTTCTGCCACAGCTTGTCAAGTTTTGTTATTTAAAGAAAGTGCTATTAGTCTACTAGGTCAAATTGGTAAGGTGGTTTGAATGAGAGAAGAGTTTTTATTATTTAAAGCTGTTTAAAAAAACTTTTTGGAAATTTAAAGTAAATAAGGCATCTGTAACTCAATGCGAAAGATATTAATTTGCTTTTATCATATTAACTTCATCCTAAAATCGAGCCGTATTTGAAAACTCTGAACTGCTGTAAAGATAAGCACTGCAGTGATGAAAATGAGTTATTGCTGATTATATGTTCCACCAAAAAATAACTGTTAAACTTTTTATTATATTTGCTAAGGTAACTAAGTTGTAGTATAGTGTCGCGCACAGAAAGTAATTTTAGACTGTATGCTGATCCACCTATAATGGACAATGATGTAATTACTATCTCCGTTGATTACCTTGCTATACGACACGTAGAATTGGTAAAAATTTATAGCGATAAAAACTGTCAAGCTTCTTAGAGATTTTAAAGTTATAATTTTTATCTATGGTTTTTCAGTTAGTTTTAGTTATACATATAATTGCTAAATTTTTTGAAACGATTCCAATCAAACAAGAAAATATTGATCATCAGAAAGTTTCTGTTCAATGCTCTATACAGTGCTAATTCAATAAAGTATGTTACAGTTGTAATGTATACATTTATTCTGTTACAAACAGTGATTTTAGTTGGGACAGGCCTCTACACAATTTAGTATACATGGCGAAATGCGACTGGTAAGTTTTGCTCTACAATGCTTGTAATACTGGATAAATACGTAACACTTTGAAGTAAACTTAATTGTTTTTTAGGTATGGACAGATCCGAGGCTCAAATTTGATCCCAACGACTGGAAGATGGAGTCATTTGTGTTACACGAAAACCATCGTATATGGTCACCAAAGTTAGTCGACGAATCCCTCAACGGGTACCTATTTTTTTTTTGCCTAATTAAAAAAATTATTTTGTTGCAAGTTCTGTTACAGTTAAACTGTTTATTTTCTTAAAAATTTTCTAACTGCAATAGAACCACACTATAACATTTGCTTTAGTAAAACTAAAAAAAAGTATTTTTTCTGATCTGAAAGATAGCACTCGAAAATTGCGAACAGTAAAAAGTATCGTGGACAAGTTAAAATACTAAACAGTAAACATTGCTTTGCAAAATTGGCGTTTCAAATAGTACTCACTGTTTTTCAACCTCACTTTCGTTCAGTATTTTTTGAGGCTTTTTCAGTACCAGAGAAACCTATAATTGAAATTGAAACTTATATTTTATTTCTTATCTCATTTTTTTTTGAAAACCTTACTATGAGAGCACTCTGTTTTGTGTTTTCTAATCAAGAACTATTATTCTTCTATCTCAGAAAAGTATTTCACATCGCTGTCAAAACAGTGAGTTCAAATAACTTTTGTTGCGAACTAACCCATACTTTGAAATGGCATTTTTTTGCCCAATAAATTGCCTATCGTTCTTATAATTCTCTCAAATTAGCTTTAATTTG